AGGAAGTCGAATGACCACCTTGTCGACCATGTCGACTTGCCGACCACGACTAGAAGAGTTACCAAGTGAGCCTACACAAGTCGAGTTCCCCCGTTTGATTGGCTAGCCAGTCAACCGACCCATCGGGTCCCCCTGTACCCGTTAGCCAATCCCCACAGGCCCCCCAACTCCCGGGGTCCAATCCGATCATGCTGAAAGCATTCTTCAACCGGCAACACCGCGACTCGTCTTCCCACCAGTCGACCGGGACTCACTTCCTGGCGGCATCGTGACGACAATCGGATCGCTCGGGGGCCCGTAATTGTAGGTCAGACCGTCTATCGACGCCTTTGCTCCCTCGGTTACCGTGACACTGTACTTGGTCTCGTGGATAAGGCCCTCGGTTACGATTGCCATGTTGAGGGGTGGCCAGTGGAGTGTGATCGGTCCGGCTCTGGGAAAGTCCGGCAACGGCGTCAGTTGGAGCAGGCAGACCGAGATCTTGCCTTTCATGATCTCCTGCGACAGCCAAGAGAAGGAGAGGCTGGTGGCGCTGGCTGAGACCAGTTTCAGGTTCTGCGGCTTCGAAGCGGCTGCCAGTCGCCCAAATCAGAATAAAAGAAGAACAAGGCCGCAATTAGGCTCGTCTGCTTGGAGGCTCCCGAAGTCTACGTCCTACTTGCCTTCACTATTAATCCATCTATCCGTTTATTTATCTATATTTCCTTATTTATTTCTTTGTTTCTTTATTCCTTTTCCTTTCTTTTTTCAATCTATCAATCAATCTATCTATCTATCCATCCACCCATCTATCTATATATTTATCTAGCTATCCATCTATCCATATATATATATATACATATATATATACTTTTTGCGATCTTCCTATCTTTTGTTTCGAGACAATATTCTTATCTTTCTTTCTACCAAGCTTTCTTTATTTCTCTCCATCTATTTATCTATCAACATTTCTTCATTTTTTCTATCTATCTATATATTTATATTTATATTTTCCTATCTTTCTTTCTACCAAGCTTTCCTTGATTTCTCTCTATCTATTTATCTATCAACATTTCTTTCTTTTTTTCTATCTATCTATCTATCTTTCTTCCTATCTATCTATCTATCTATCTATCTATCTATCTATCTATCTATCTATCTATCTATCTATC